ATTTTATTTTACAAAACATTTTCTATGATAAAACGTAAGCCATAAAGGGTCTTATGCTGAGGACCAGTCAGAATTGCATTGTTATGATAAAAAACTATTCCAGCTGCCTTGTGTAGAGTGGATATAGGGAGGTTCCTTATAAGTTTTGGCCATAGAGTAAGTAACCAGCTTTGGTAATTGTGGAAATTTTGGAAATACAGGTAGTTGAAAGAAGAAATTTTAAATCACTGCTAGAAAAAAAAAATCTGTGTTAACTATTTGGTATATTTCTTCTCAGCATTGTTTTTCCATACAAAATTAAAATCACATTGAACATACAGTTTGACATCTTGCTTTTTAAGTAAATGTTACATAGTCTTTTCCTATGTCATTAAATATCTGTTTCAACATAATTCACACTGTTGCATAAACCATGATGAATTCAACCAATCCAGTGTTGTGTGGGGTCCTTGGGTTCCTTCTTAGTTTTTCACTATTATAAGTAATGCTGCTCTGAACCTAAAACTTTCATTAAGATATATTCTTGGAAATTAAATTACTGGGTAAAAGGATATGAACTGTAATGCTTTGGCTACATATCATCAAGTGATTTCCCAGAAAGGCTTTACAAATTTGTGCTCCCAATAGGGACAGAGTGCCCCTCTCACCACATCCTTGCCAACACTGAGTAGTATAGTATGGGGTTTTTCTTTGTTTGTTTTTGTTTTTTAAACAGGTAGGAGGTGGGATGGGGAACTAATATTTATAGCATTTGATTTTTTAAAAATCATTTTCTAACCATATCATTTTAGGAATTTAGTCTAGGACAGGTCTGCCAATTAAGTTGTTTTCATTTTTCCAAGACCTTAAATATTAGAGTAAGCTTGCATAAAGCAGGCATTATGAATACTATCTAGGGAACTGTTTATTACTCAGGAATTATTTACAGTCCCTAGTCATACCCTCTGAATCTATTGAGTGTCCTAAAATTTTTTTTCTTTTTTTCTTTTTCTTTTTCTTTTCTTTTTTTTTTTAAACTTATCATTGGCTCAGCTACCAAAGTAACTCATACACTTTTAAGAAGCAAGCCTCCATGCATTGGTTCAAGGACCAGGATGTGAGTGCTTCTGGGAGGCACTGGATTTATAGGGGAAAGACTTGGCATGGTTTTCCTTAAGATCTACAATCTTAACTGATCCCTAACTGTTACAGCCTTGAAATTGGTTTCCTTCTACTGTACATACACTGTATGACTTTTTATACCAACTAAGCTTGTAGTACTTTGTGCTTTAATTTTTTAAGGGTCAATCATGTGAATTATACTGACAGGAGCCACCTGTTTATAGGTGGTTTAAGTGAAACTTGCTTAATTGAATTTTATTAAAAACTTGATTTATGGGCTTTTAAGTGAGACGCCATACTTAGAAAACTTAGCACAGTATTTCACACATGGAAAGCACTCATAAATTTTAGTTGTCTTAATTGTTAGAATTCCCTCAAGAAGTGACATTTAACCAGGTCTGGAGGAACCCTCATGGCAGAGGGACTGGAACATCCTAAAGTCCTGAGGAGCCAAAGAGCCTGTAGCCCTATGTGGCTCCAAACAAGCCAGTGAGGGAAAGTCAGCCCTAGGCGGGGGCTTAGCTTTGAGAAGAAGTTTAGGCTTCACTGGGAGAGCAATTGAGAGCCATAAAGGGTCATAAGCTGAGGACAAATCATATTTGCATTGTTATGTTAAAAAACGATTCCATCCACCTATGGAGAGTGGTTACAGGGAAGTTCCTTACAAGGTTTGGCCATAAAGTAAATAACCAGCCTTGGGCACATTACTTAAGCTAAGTGTGTCTTAGTTTCCTCATCTCCAACACAGATTTAGTAATAGTAGTAGTACTCACACCATAAACTCTGAGTTGTTATTTATTTGTCATGTCCTCAGAACAGCTTCTAGTGCTTTAAATGTTGGTTAAATTTAGAATGCTGAAAGTTAAGCACTTCCAGTACTACCCTCCCTCCAAATAGCTGACCTCCACCATGGAAAACCCAGACTGGCCCTGACTCTGAGTCCTTGGCCAAGCCTAGTTTCCAAACCAAGCCCAGCTTCCTCGGAACCTCCCCGTGTCTGGTCTGGGGTGGGTGCCTCCACATGGATGTGGCATATGCTGGCCAGGCCCGGCTGGCCTTCCTTCCCTAGAGCACTTGCATGGCACTTCACACAGTGGGTCAGGCCGCAGTTAGCCACTTACACCGTGTGGGCTTCATGCTGGGGTGAATTACATAGAACTCGCCAGTACCCACCGATCCTCAAAGGATGGCACACTGGAGGTAACTTACCTCCCCTGGCGTTGCCAACCTGACCATGACTGCTTACTCTCACCCACATGGCACTTGGTGTTTGAAACCAACTGGGCTGTCCTCAGCTCCTGTTTGCTTTCTGTATTTATAAAGGACAGCTTTGAACTGAAAGAGAAAAAAAGGCAAATAATATGCAAATTCCATCCAGCCTTTTCTTCTTCACTCTAGTAAGGAGCCTCTTAAGTATTTTATACTTATAAAAAGTTTACTTTAACTCTATAAATCTCTGTTTTTCTCCCTCCTCAGTGACTTACTTTTGTAAAGTCATGTGATACATGTTGCTGGGTTTTTAAAAAATCATCAATATCTTTTGCTTAGTAGTTAGTAATGTTTCAAAGCTACTTTCTTAACTTGCTATGAATTTTTCCAGTTTGAAAATAGTAAATGGGATCGCATGCAGGGACAGCAGTTTTCAACCTGCATGACTTAGTAGTGTTGCCTGGAGTCCTGTTTTGAGGATCATGAGGCAAATCTGAGCTCGCAGGGAGAAAGTATCATGATCTACAAGAAAGGGTGCACACCAGATCCAGGGTAGAATTCTCCCTGGGAGGAAGGACGACTGTAGAACTGGTCGGGGAAGGGAGAGATGGCACAGAAGGCCTCCTCAGTGTTTCTAATGCTTGTTAAATGTGGTGATGGGTGAAATTTGTCATATTATTTTATATCTTTTTGAATATGTGAAACAGTTCATGATAAAATTGAAATGATGCCATCAACCCTGGGCATTACTGGTAAGTTTGTTGTCCTGGTCTGGAGGGGCCTACCCTTGACTGAGGTAACACAGCCCCTTCCCTAGATTCAGTGGTCCTCCAAGTATTTGTATATGGACTCATACACTTAGATGCACATACACGAGTTTATTTTATCTCATAATGTGTACTTACAAAATGCAATACAGAACTTAAAAAAGAATAAAAAAGAATAAAAAGGTATATTCCCTGTAAATATACTGAAAACCACAGGGTTGTACACTTTAAAGAGTAAATTTTATAGTATATGAATTATATCTCAATAAAGCTGCTGTTGAAAAATAAAATGTTTCCAAATAGAACACTTTTTCAAAAAGTAAGTATTTTTTTTTCTGATTTTAATAGTAGTACACATACACACATAGGAAACTGGAAAATGTACTAAAGTAGAAAAAAATATATATACCCATAATAGCACCACCCCAGAGACTGTTAACATTTGGTGATAGTTTCTTCCATTATTTTTTCATTTCCATGTATGGATTATTTTTATATTGATGAGATTGTTTCTGAGTATTAAAATTTGCATCTTCCTTTCTTCATTTAACATTGTAATACAACTATTTAAAATGCTCTCATAAATTCTTTATAAACATTTTAATGGTTTACAGTGGGCCAATGTATGAGGGTATTATAAATTAATCAGTTCCTGCTGTTAGCATTTTTCACTATGAGAAATACCATTGTAGTGAACATCTTTGATTATAATCCCCATCATCATATTCGGATTTATTTCCATAAATGTGTGCCAGATACATTAGAAGTTATGAAATCTTTTAAAAACCTTTAATATGTATGTCCAAGTTGCTCTTTATAAGGCAGGCCTCTACTACCCTATAAGGCACCTTTGTTCAGGTTATAAACCTCTGGGCAGATATAGCCCAGGCAGTCTGAGCTTGGGGTGGGAAATGGGCTGTGTTACACCCACTCACACCCCCTGGGGGTGTCTCAGTGTGGTTCACAGCAGCAGGATGTATGGATACCCATTTATATTTTAATAGCTCACATAGAGTACCTGTTTCAGAGAACCCAGATTAGCATTTGGTATTTAGGTCTGTAAAATCTTTAATTCATTAAGTGAAAAACGGTATGTTGATGTTTAAATTTACCCTTTGGTTTTATGAGTGTGAACATTTATTGGTGTGTTTCTTGTGCATTTGTATTTTCTTTTATGAATTATCTGTTCATACTCATTTTTTATGTTCTTAGTGTTTGTCATGTATTTTGCACATTTATTTATGATCTGTCATTACTTGTTAATAATATTCTTCCTAGTTGGTGCTTATATTATTTTATGAAAGCACAAGGTTTTATTTCTATTTAGAAAAACCAATGATTTGCTCTCTTAATTTTCAGTTTACAAAGTTCTTCCCTATTCAGACACCTGAAAAGTACTGTTTTCTTCTCATTTATTATTTCATTTTTACATTGATCTCTTTACGTTGATGTTTAACTTTACATTAAATTCAAGTATATTTTGATGAATAACATAAGGTACAAATCTAATTTTTTTTTCAAATAGCGTTCCCATAACACCATTTAGTGCATCATCTTTCCTTAGTAATTTGTGGTATGTTCCTTGTCATGTGTTAAATTATAGCTACTTTGATAAAAATATTTTGCTGAGTTTAAAAACAATAAATATCACATTCTTAATATGGTTAAAGCACTGTTCATTTATTATATATTTTTGCTTCACTGTTAACATTTGTTTAAATTGACCTATTTTTAATGTGATAATTTTAATGCTAACTTATTTCTTCTTTATACCATGAATCCAGATGAACTGAGTATTTGGACAAATTAGGATTACTCATTTCACAGAGATGAGTGCATTTACAGATGACCTAAACTCTAGACATTATACATAATAGGCACTTGCACTCGCTTTTAATAACTTTGTCTGTTTATGTTTTTAAGGGGTTGTTATCTCATATACTTTCGGCATTCAGATTTGATACAAAAGAAGTTGGTCTTTTTACTCAAGGTCTTGGATATGCACCTGCAGATTACTGTCCTGGTTTGCTTAAAAATGTGAGTATTTTTAATAGTATTGAAATTTTTGTTGCTTAATGTACCATTGGCAAAAAGGGTAAATGGAAATATCTCACTCTTCCAGGAGAGATGTTTAACTTTTCTCTGTTTATCTCTTCTTACCTTGGGCCGACTTACAGCCATGTAAGGAAGAAATGTGAGGTGGGAGATTATGAGAAAAAAGAAGGAAACCAGGAGAGGTTATTCTAAATCAACCAACCCCTCTTTTCTCTTAACGGATCTCATTTATTCTCTCAAAGATTTTTGGGAGAAGAGATTTCCTTAACCAGTGTAAACACACCCTTTTACTGTTGGGTGAATTTTGTATTTAAAATAACCTGATAGGAACTTTATGTTAAAGCAAAAAATTCAATAAGTAACAATGTTGTAAATAGTATTATATATTCACATCTTAGTATTAAAGCTATGTTTCCTTTTGCCTTGAATTTTGGCCAAATTCAAGGAATTTTAATTTATGATCTTCTAAATATTGTTATGAGATTTCTAATCTTTGTTAACTGTCCTGGTCTTTTGGAAACTTTATACGTAAATAGCATTTTTAAAAAATAACTAGAGCTAAATTAGGAAAGAAAAAAATAAGGTAACTTTAATGTGGTTTTATTTTTAACAGGTTTGGTTTTCTTTGGAAATTAATGATCAGTGTATTGTTCATTTGATTAAATTGGAATGTGGAATAACAGACATTAAAAATAAAATCCAAGTTATTAGTAAATGTGACTTGGCACTGCTTTCTTTTCATTTTGACAAAGTAAAACAAGGAGAGGATGGGTAGGGGAGGGGAGGGAATCTCAACGGAAATATCACTCACACCAAGAAAAATAGAACTGATGTAATCCTGTTTTGCAGGATGAGTTAACCTGCAACTGATTTTGTTTTACAGATGGTTTTATCATTAGCGTCTGAACTGCGAGAGAATCATCTTAATGGATTTAACACTCAGAGGCGGTAGGTGTTAAACTAAACATCCCCCTTCTTAAGTTTCAAAATGTAACAGTCTGCTTATGAGAGAAAAATTTTATAATTCTTTGGAAATGCATGTTCATAAGTTCAGGTTATATTCTGTATGGAGAGATTATTTATACATGGTAAATTGGTGAGTTTTATGAAACTTTCTTTTTTTATCACTATTCTTTCAACTTTTATAGGGCAGTAAATCATGCAACGTCTCTTGTGACCCATTGAGTAAAAAACCCTACATATACAGTAGGGAACACAAACAAAGGAAGGGCTCAGCTCGGAGAGAGAGAGAGAGAGTGTGTGTGTGTCTTATAAATACACACACACACAAACAGTATTTACAAGGCAACAGATATTTGATATGCACATATGACTTATTTTAAGAAACATAATATTCCAAAATCTAGACTAAACAAATCAAATAGATTCAGACAAATTAAAAGGCAATTAATCACATTACAAAATGTTCTTCACTATGTGAGAGAATTCAAAGTTGTCTTCATTGGTGAGTAGCATTTCATTTTTTTTTTTAAAGATTGTATTTATTCATTTGAGAGAGAGAGAGAGAGAGGGAGCATGAGCAGGGGGAGGGGCAGAGGCAGAGGGAGAAGCAGAAGCCGTACTGAGAGCTGGGAACCTGACACAGGGGCTCCATCCCAGGACTCTAGGATCCTGACCTGAGCTGAAGGCAGACGCTTAACCAACTGAGCCACCCAGGTGCCCTGGTGAGCATTTCATTTTTAACAAATTATTAACTAAGAGAGTCTGGGGACAAGGGACTTTGTCCTTGTTTTTTGCTTTTTGTTTGTTTTTATAAAGTTACTGTCAATTAAAACTATCACAAATGGTTTTTGCTCTCAGCCTACGTGATCCTTTGCATGTAAACTTTAAAGTAAACTATAAAACCCTTAAAAACACTGGAGAAAATCTTCATGACATTGATTTGGCAATGATTTTTTTGGATATGATACCATAAGCACAGCAACAAAGGAAAAGTAAATAATTGGACTTCATTAAAATTATGAATTTTTATGAATTATAAGACATTATCAAAGCAAAAAGCCTACTGACTGAGAAATATTTGGAAGTCATGTATCCAATAAGGGATTAATACTGAAAGAACTGAAACTCAACAAAAACAAAAAATTCAATTCAAAAATGGGCCAAGAGAGATGTCTTACATGTCTGCAAAGATGATATGTAACCGGCCAGTAAGCACATGAAACAGTGTTCAGCATCACCAATTATTAGTGAAATGCAAATCAAAACCACAGTGGGATATTACGTCACATGTATTAGCCATGATCTATAATTTTTAAGACAAGCAAAAATGGGAAATAATAAATGTTAGCAAGTAAGTTAAGGAAGTACAACCCTTGTGCATTGTTGGTGGGAATGTAACAAACTATAGACTATAGTCTTGCTGGTGGGAATGTTAAATGGTACAGCCACTGTGGAAAAGTTTGGCAGTTCCTCAAAAAATTAAACACAGAATTCCATAAGACCCTGAAATTCCACTCTTAGATATATATTCAAAAGAATTGAAAACAGGGACTTGAACAGATATTTGAACACCAGTGTACATAGCAGCATTATTCACAATAGCCAAAAGGTGGCAACACTCCAAGTTCCCACTAACAAAATGTGGAGTGGATAAACAAAATATGGTATGTAAATACAACAGAATATTCTTCAGCCATAAAAAGGAATAAAATTTTTATATATGCAAGAATATGGGTGGACCTTGAAAACATCATGCTTAGTGAAATAAGCCAGACACACAAGGGGAAATAATGTATGATTCCACTTATATGAAGTACCTAGAAGAGGAAAACTCAGTAGAGACAGCAGAAGAGAGGTTAGAGGTAGAGGGAATGGGGTTATTGTTTAATGGGCCCATCGGTTATGTTAGGGGTTAGAGATAATGAAAAGCTTTGGGGATAGATTGTGGTGATGGGTACACAGCATGTGAATGTGTTTAATGCCACTAAATGGTTACCAAGTACAAATAGTTAAAAAATAATAACAATTATGTATGTTTTACCATGATTTTAAAAAAGCAAGAAAAAAAACAAACATGATACCAACTGTACACTCCATCAGATGACTAAAGTTTAAAACACTTACATCAACCTGGATTTCTCATCCACTGTCTGTGAGAATGTGAAGTGGTGTCATTACTTTGGTAGACAGTGTAGTACTTCATTATAAAGTTAAACACACACTTATCATATGATCCACCAACTCCATTCTTGAGTATTTACTCACAATAAACGAAAACATAGGTAGTCATAAATATTTCTATACAGATATTCATAGCTGCTCAATTTTGTAATAGTTCAAAACCAGAAATGATCCAAAGGACCACCTTAACTGGATGGATAAACAAGTAAGTATTGTCTGTTACCACCGTTTAAGAAATGAAAAGACAAGTCACAAACTGTGAGAAAATATTTTCAGATTATGTATCTGATAAAGGGCTCCTACCCAGAATATATAAAGAACTCAGTAATAAGATATAAAGAACTCAGTAATAAGACCACCCAGTTAAAAAAAAAAATAGGCAAAAGATTGGAAAATGTCATCAAAAAATATATACAAACAGCTAATAAGCACATGAATACTTGTATACAGATGTTCATAGCAGCATTATTCATAATAAAAAGTGGAAGCAACCCAAATATCCATCAACTCATGAATGGATAAACAAAATATGTTGTGTCCATACAGTAGAATACTATACCTCACTAAGAAAAGAACAGTCTACTGATTCATGTTACAACATGTGTGAACCTCAAAAACATTATGCTTAGTGAAAGAAGCCAGTCACTGAAGACCATATATTATATGATTCCATTTTTATAAAATGTCCAGAATAGGTAAATCTATAGAGACAGAGTAGATTAGCAGTTGCCTAGGGCTAAAGGTAGGAACAGGGATTTGCTGCAAATGAGTACAAAAGATCTTGAGGTGATGGAAATGTCCTAAAAGTGGATCATTAGTGGTAATGGCTGTCCAACTCAGTAATTTATTAAAAATCTTTGAATTGAACATTTCAAGTAGGTACATTTTGTGGTATATAAGTTATACCTAAAAAGTAATAAGAAGAGTCCCTAGAAGGGACATGGAAAGCATTTACAGTCATTTATTTACATGTCAGGTAGAGACTTTGGTTTTGCCTTGAGATAAATGTTGAATAATAGAATTAGAAATTTATTTAAATGGACTTAAAACATCAGTAGGATACAATGTATATGTACACCCTTCACCAACAACCCAAACTATGTCAAGTTGATGATTTTTTAAAAACTTAACTGAGAATAAACAACAACAAAACAAAAACACTATTAACAAGTGGAAAACATTAGCCAGAGAATTGGAAGATATTTGCAACCATAAAACAGACAAAGGATTAGTATGGGAAGTATAGAAATGCCTCCTGCAAATCAATCATAAAGAGGCAAACACTCCAGTATAGAAATGGGCAAAAAATATAAGTAAGTTATTACTAAAAGAGGAAAGAAGAATAAATAACAAACATTTAAAAAATTCTTCAAGAGTGATGTCAGCATGACAGTAGAATAGGAAGCCCCAGTCCTTGTTTCCATACAGAGACACTGACTTAACAATGGTATATGACCCAAAGAGCCTTTATGAGAACTCCAGAAACCAATTAAGACGTTATAATACCCCAGACAAACTCGAAGTTAAAAACAACCATATGGAAATGGGTAAGAAGGCCATTTCATATCAATCACAGTAGCCCTTCCCCTAAGCTGGCTCAGTGTTGTGGGATTGGGAGGAAAATTCTAGCTTACAGCTTCTCCCTTGATGGGGAAAGAAAAGAATGGAATATGTTCAGTGTTTCTGCTTTGGGGGGCTGCCTGAGGGACTGGTGTCTCACTTGCCTGACTCTGACCACTGATGGGGAACCAGCATACTTTCAGTGCCTGGGAACTGTGGCACATTAGAGAGTCCTCAGCTGCTTTTTGCAGCACCAGAGAACTGACAGTGCTGCAGACAGAGGTAGGCTCGGAGAGAAAACACCCAACCCAGAGCTAATGTCTAGGTGGCGTAGGGGGTGGGAAAGAAGAGTAGAATATATATCTAATCTTCCAGCTTCTGAAGGGGCTACCTTAGGGATTGGTTTCAGTCTCCCTTGACTTGAAGCAATAACAGAACCAGCATACTTTGGAGGTGAGGAGGCTGCAGAGAACCAAAGAGCTTAGTGGCTTGTTGTAGCACCAGAGAACCTGCAGTACCACAGACAAACACCAGAGGGAGAAAGAGATTGCAAACTCCTGAAAAGCTGGCAAGCTCTCCGGGAAATTACACAAACAATCCCAGAGAAGACACATCCCCAGAAAAGATTCAAAGGACCCCCAGACTCTCTCACCAGGTTGATTAGTGAACATCTTCCCTTGTACAAAGGCAGTCCATAAAGACTGGGAGAAGTGGCTATTTCTTTGACTACAGAAAACACAACAAAATATAACAAGGCACACAAAGAAACAGGAAAACAGGGCCCAAACAAAGGAACAAAATTAATTTGCACAAACCTACCCTAAAGAAGTGGAGAGCTATGACCTAACTACCTGGCAAAGAATTAAAAATAATCGTCCTAAAGGAGCTCAATGCACTACAATAGAATACAGATAAACAACTAAATGAAATCAGAAAAATGATGCATAAACAAAATGAGAATATCAGCAGATAGCAATTATGAAAAACAACCAGATAGACATTCTGGAGCTGAAGAATACAATAACTGAATTGAAAAATTTAGTAGAGGGGTTCAACAGTAGACTTAGTCAAGCAGTTAACTTGAAGACATGTCACTTGAAATTGTCAAATCAAGTAAAAAAAAAAAGAATGAAGAAAAGTTAATTAAGCCTTAGAGTTTATGGGACATCATCAAGTGGACCAATTATATGTATAGCAGGAGTCACAGAAGTGAGAAAAAGACAGCTTATCAAATCTGAGGAAGG